CCCTAAACCCCAAACCCTAAACCCTACACCCTTAACCCCAAAAGCTTTAACCCTCAACCCTCTAAACCCCTTTGCGGGCGTGGGACTTGAACGAGCCTGAAACCGACCTCTCAAGTGCCATTCTACGGCCGCCCATTTTTTAAAGAGGAGGAGGGAGGGGGGCTCGTGCAGACTCAGGTGTATAGAAGGACTATACTAGGGTGTGTGTAGATATCCATATATATATATATACATATGTATATATATATATATATAGAGAGAGAGGGACAGAGAGGCTTTCTGGGACAGTTAGCAGGATTGAGGTTTCCTTCTTATTCCTTCAGACGTAGAGAGCCCCGACGCTGGCCTGGCCAGCTATTTCTCTAAAGACATAAACCCTACACCCAAAACCCCAAATTCGAGGCTGCGTATGATAAATTGGATCGGTTTAGGATTTAGGGGTTAAAGGGTTGGACCATAGCTAGTCTAGAGAATCTCCGGACACAAGCCCTGCATTGAGCAATGCAACAAAATGCGCGCTCCATAGCAGTTTAGGGTGAGCGTTTGTAGGAGCCCCCCCAACGCGCCCCCCCCCCCCCCCCCCCCCCCCAAACCTTACTTTTGTAAGGGAACCCCCAAACCCAACAGCGCAAAAGGGGGACCACTCAAGTACCAAAAGTGTAGTCGGGGGAACAGCTCCCACAAGCCTGGGCGGCAGCGCACGCAGCCTCTGTCCTGCTCAAAGTTTAGGGTTTAGGGGTTCATAGGGTTTAGGGTTTAGGGTTTAGGGTTTGGGGTTTAGGGTTTAGGGTTTAGGGTTTGGTTCAGGGTTTGGTTCAGGGTTTAGGGTTTTAGGGCTGAGTTGAGGGTTGAGAGTTCTTGCGAGTTCCGGGTTCAGCGTCTAGGGCTGAGGGCTTGCTTCGGGTTTGATTAGGAATGCTCATGGGTCGCCATAAGCAGTGTCATGAGTGCCGCGGGTCGAGCGTATGTAAATGACCCACCCCCCCACCCCCGGACCAAAGACCCACTGTCCTCTGACTCTCCCTAAGTCCATGTACCTATATAGTATATACTTGGCCCTTAAAGGGGTTTCCATAAAGTAGCTTTAGGGCCCAAGTATACCATATAGGTACATGGACCCTTAGGGTCTGTGAGCTTGAAGCAGTCTAGTTGTAGATGGTTACTTGTCATACTCTTGGCTGGGCTGCTACAACTCGCTCACGTAGCCCATGTCTGAGTCGTAGCGCACTTCACGACATTGTAACCATACTGTGTAGTACAAGCGCCTAGAAGATGCATGAACACACGGGATGATTGCAGACAGTACCTCTGTGCGCCTACCTGCCTAAGGTACCTGGGGTGCTTCTGATACGTCTGGGTTGTTCCTCTCAACTTACACGACATGCTATTGCAATCACCACTTAGGGTTTAGGGTTTAGGGTTTAGGGGTTAGGGGTTAGGGGTTAGGGTTTAGGGTTTTAGGGTTTATGAACAACACCAGCATCGCTCTCGCCGCCTGCGCTTTTTGATTCTTGCAGTTCGCTGAACAGGTACGAGACATGGCTCGTATGCAAGTGTGGAATACTGATATCACAACCCTAAACCCTAAACCCTAAACCCTAGACCCTAAACCCTAAACCCTAAACCCTAAACCCTAAACACTAAACCCTAAACCCTAAACCCTAAACCCTAAACCTTAAACCCTAAACCCTAAACCCTTAACCCTTAAAGCCCTTTACACAAGAACTACACCCTCAACCCACCCGTCCGTCGCAGCGCTGCAGCCGTCTCCTCGAGCCCGAGCTCGGCCGCACGGGCCTCCCACTTTTGGGGCTTTAGGGTTCAGGGTTTAGGGTTTAGGGTTCAGGGTTCAGGGTTCAGGGTTTAGGGTTTAGGGTTTAGGGTTTTAGGGCTTCCGGGTTTTCGGGTTTTAGGGTTTAGGGCTTAAGGGCTTTAGGGTTTCAGGGTTTTAGGGTTCAGGCCTTTAGGGCTTAGGGCTTCTCCGACTTTTGGGGCTTGAGGGTTTAGGGCTATTAGGGTTTTAGGGCTTCAGGTTGTTTGGGTTGTTCAAAAGCGTCTAGGGCTTTTGAGGTCTAAAGCCCTAAAGCCCTAAACCCTCAACCTTCAAGCCCCCTTGGGGGCTTAGCGTGTTCAGGGTTTAGGGACCGGGTCTCCCCCAAACCTTAACACGCTACACCCTTCAAGCTCTAACCCTGCAAGGGAACCTTGAACCAAAACAAAAAGGCAAAGGTACACCTGGGCTACCAAGCTTGTGGTGCTATAGGCCTAAACCCTAAACCCTAAACCCTAAACCCTAAACCCTAAACCCTAAACCCTAAACCCTAAACCCTAAACCCTAAAGACCCTAAACCCTTTGGAGCTCCAGGGCTTTGGGGCTTTCGGGATTGAGGGCTTCAGGGTTCCAGGGCCTGCGGTTGGCTGGGGTGAGTCTTGGGGCTTAAGGGTTTGGGGTTTAGGGTTAGGGTTTAGGGTTTAGGGTTAGGGTTTAGGGTTTAGGGCTTAGGGCTTAGGGCTTAGGGTTTAGGGTTTAGGGTTTAGGGTTTAGGGTTTAGGGTTTAGGAGTTCCAAGGCGGGAGGCCGCAAAGAGTTCCATGGTCCGGGGTGTTGAGGATTTTAGGTCTCAGAAACTGGGGACACACATTGACACGCCTCACTTAGGGACCCTAAACCCTAAACCCTAAACCCTAAACCCTAAACCCTAAACCGATTTAAGGCGCAGGGGTTTGGGGCCGTTGCGAAGTGAAAATGCGCGGTGGGGGGGCAGGAAGGCGCTTAAAGGATCTCCATGCTCGAGATGCCCACAAGGAAGCTCAGAGGCCTCAAACCCCCAACCACTCAACCCTTAAACCTCCAAAGCTCAGCATGCCTAAACCCCAAACCCCAAACCCCAAACCCCAAACCCCAAACCCCAAACCCCAAACCCCAAACCCCAAACCCTAAACCCTAAACCCTAAACCCCTAACCCGAAACCCTGAACCCTAAATCCTAAACCCAACACCACAGACACAACCCACCTGCTCCACGATCTGGCGTTGCGACGCTTGTGCCGCCAACGATCGCTGTTGAGCCTGGGCCCGTGAACCCGTGGTTTTGGGTTTAGGGTTTAGGGTTTAGGTTACAACCAGAATCCTGATCAATATGAAATTACGATTTAGAAATCAGAATCCGCGAAACTCGACGCCGATGCTGATCAAACAGAAGACTGCCACACCCAAACCCCGTCCGCCCCAACCCATATACACCTTAAACTCCAAATCCCAAAACCCGCAAAATGGCGCACCCCTAGAGCTAAAGCCAGAAAACCCTAAACTCTAAATCTCAAACCACCCTTCCACCCCAAACCACAAACTCTAAGCCGTAAACCGCAAACCACCCTACACCCCTAAACCCTGAGCCGTAAACCCCAAGCCACCCTACACCCCTAAACCCCTGGCCCTAAACCCTAAACCCTAAACCCCAAACCACCTTCCACCCCTAAGCCCTAAACAATAAACCCCAAACCACCCTATACCTATAGCGCTAAACCCAAAACCCTAAACCCTAAACCCCAGACCCCAAATCCAAAACCCCAAACCGCAAACCCTAAACCCTAAACCCCAAACCACCCTACACACCCAACATACCCTTCTCAGCCAGCTGCCGTGGCGAGCTCGTCGCTCATCTTCGCCATGGCACGGGCCTCGCTCAGGCCGTCATCCTCCTGGGCTTTTAGGGTTTAGGGTTTAGGGTATGGGGGTATAGGGCCAGTATAGGTTTAGGGTAGTTTAGGGTTTTAGGGTTTAGGGTCCCAAGGTGTACATATAAAGTGCCTATTTCACTAGAATGGGCATTTTGGAGTAGCCCATATGGTGACGCTATAGGCATCGTGGTAACAATGTAGGCACCTGGGTTCAAGCCCTGCTGCTTCACGGCTTTATGGGGTTTGACAGGGCTGTGATACGGTTTCGGGCCTCTCGGGTAGAGCGCTCCCGATAGGGTGTGTCTGGTTCGGGTTTACAATGTTGCGATCAGGTGTGATAGGGCTTCATGGGGCTTCAAGAAGAAATAAACACCAAAAAAAAGCTGAGGACAGAAACGCATAGTATAACATACATATATATATATACACCCTAAACCCCAAACCCTAAAACGCTAAACCCTAAACCGTAAACCCTAAACCCTAAACCCAAAAGCCTAGACCCTAGACCCTAAACCTACATACGAAGTGAAACCTGTGAGGCCCACACGAAACGGCGCTGGAGTTCCCCAAGCTCGGCGGTGGCTTGGACAGCCATCTCGGCCTGGGCGACTCATGGCTCGGTTCACTTAAAAAAAGACAGGGATTTAGGGATTTAGGGCTTTAAGGGTTTAAGGGTTTAAGGGTTTAAGGGTTTAGGGTCATGTAGAGCTTGGGGTTCAGGATTTGGGGTTTAGGGGAGTATGGTTCGGGTTTAGGGGTTTAGGGGTTTAGGGGTTTAGGGGTTTGGGGGTTTGGGGGGTTAGGGGTTTAGGGAAAAGTTGGCTGGGATCTGGGCTGTGCTGGGTCTGCTAATCGCTGGGGAGTTGGGTGTACGAAGTGGGCCCTAAACCCTAAACCCTAAACCCTAAACCCTAAGTCCCGATGTGCAAGGGGCCAGGCAATGGGCCCTTCTGCGCCTGGACCCTTGAGGGGTTTGGCGGTTTAGGGTCCAAGGGTTTAGGGTTTAGGCAGTTTAGGGCGGCGTAGGCCTTAGGGTTGAGGGTTTCGGCGGTTTGGGGTTTAAGGTTTAGGGCTTAGGGCAAGTGATCCGGAAGCTGGAGACCTGAACCTTCGGCGTCTGGCAGCATGCGGGCGCTTCCTTGATAACTTGATTTCACCATGATCTCAACCCCAGCAAAATGTCGATGGTGAAGACGTCGGGGCTTCGGTGGGTTTACGGTTTATGTTGAAAAGTAGATGGGCTCCAGAAATTCTCCCTAACCCCTGAACCCTCTTGCAGGCTAGAGATGCCAGAGCGCTCTGAATGTTGGAGAGCAACTTTTCAAAGCTCCCCCGCTGCCTTGAGGGGGCAAAGATCTTTGCACAAATTGTGCGTATCATCCCAGACTTCTCCTCAGCAGCGCTTGAGGCGGCCGGCCAGATGTTGGGCCATGCAAATCTGAAACTGCTGCGCGCCCTTCTGTGAGGCGGCATCTCCGTGCTCTCAGGGTTTAGGGCTTAGGGCTTAGGGTTTAGGGTTTGGGGTTTAGGGTTTCTGCCACACGCTGCGCGGCTGCGATCGGCAATCGCGTAGGCTGGAGTCGGCCAAGGAAGTCTCGCGGCCCAACTGTCCGAAACACACGCAGCTCCAAAACCTCAACAGGTTTAGGATTTGGGGCTTTAGGGCTTAGGGCTTTGGGCTTAGGGTTTAGGGTTTAGGGTTAAGGTTTAGGGGTTTAAGGCCCCAACAGGGTGAGGATTTGCTTAGGCTGTCAGGGATGTAAGAGGCCGCTGAGTTCATAAACAAAACAGTGTACACTTTCAGTTCTATAGGGGAGTATGGTATCCCAAAAAGTGTAAAGTGTACTCACTCAGCAACTAAGACTCAACCCTGTCAAACCTTTTCAGCCCCAGAAGCCCTACAATCCAGCCTCATTCAAGTCTCGACTTACACCCTGAGTGCCACCCTCCCCCCCAGTCCCAACCTCCCCACAAAGAACAAACCTCCTAAAACCCCCAAGCCCCCTAAAAACATAAAACTCCCAAACCCCCTAAAACCCTAAAACCCCTAAACCGCCAAACCCCCAGACCCCCCAGCCACCCAAGTACACCTGAAACCTAAACCCTAAATCCTAAACCCCTAAACCCTAAACCCTAACCCTAAACCCTCACCCTAAACCCTAAACCCTAAACCCTAAACCCTAAACCCTAAGCCCTAAGCCCTAAGCCCTAAGCGTAGCACCCCACCCGGCCTCGCTCTTGGCCTGCGCCTGCGAGGTGGCCTGGAGCTGCCGAGCCTCGGACGAGGGTGCGACCCTAAACCCTAAACCCTAAACCCTAAACCCCAAACCCCAAACCCCAAACCCCAAACCCCAAAACACCAATCCCTAAACCCGAAACCCCAAACCCTGAACCCTAAACCCTAAACCCTAAACCCCTAAACCCCTAAACCCGAAGCCCCAAACCTAAAACCTAAACCCCTAAACCCCTTAGCCCCTAAACCCCTACACCCGAATCCCTAAACCCTACATTCCCAAAACTCCAAACCTTAACGGCCTAAATCCTAGACCCTAAACCCCTAAACCCTAAGCCCCTAGACCCCTTAACCCGTAAACCTCTGAAGCTTGAACCCCCATGCCTGCAGAAGATCCGTCTGCCAGCGCTCTTCCGTCTCCTGCTGTTCTTGGACCTTCCCAACGCCAGCTTCAGGATGAGGGGTTTAGGGTTTAGGGTCTAGGGTCTAGGGTTTAGGGTGTAGGGTTTAGGGTTTAGGGTTTAGGGTTTGGGAGCTCTAGGGCTTCGGGCTTACTTTTGGCTTTTGGGCTTATAGGGCGTAGGGTGAAGGGTTTTAGGTCTGAGGTTTTGGGTTCAGGGCATCATTTGGGGGTTATCTAGGGAAACCAAGGACATGATTTCGGGCCGTTAAGGGTTACCAAGGGGTTGAACTTTGGTTTTACTTAGTTTTTTTTTTTTTTTTGTGGGGGTGGGGGAGCGGGGGGGGGGGGGGGAAGGGGACGGGGGGGGGGGGAGGGGGGGGGGGGGGGGGGGGTGGGCCTGGGCTTATGGCTTTCAAGGGTTTAGGTGGGGTTGAAGGATATTAGGTTTTAGGGTCTGCACGCACCCTTGAAACCCTACAACCCAAATTTCGCAACTTGACACCTCAAAGGCAAGGGAGGCTGTGAAACCCTGAGCTCCTATCCTACACCCTGGTTCCTGAACTCCTCAATGTATGGGCTTAAACCTTTGCTTCAGGGGCAATTTCAACAGGGGCTTCAAATGGTTAAATGACCTTGTTCGGGGAACTCGCTTCTAGGGCTTAGTAGGGTTTATTGGGTTTTTAGGGCTTAAAGGGTTGAGGGGGATAAAACCATGAACCCAAAACCTAAGACCCTAAACCCTGAGTATTAGGGTCTATTCTTCTTTTGTGGCATATTGGGGCTTAGGGCTCAGACTCACTCAGTCACACGATGCCTGCCATTCCCAGCGGGATCGCAACTGCTGTAGCTCCTGCTGCTGCCGCTTTGCGGCGGCCTCCAGAAAGGGATGCTCGGAGGCCCCAAAGCCAACTGTGAACCCTACTTGGAGGTTCATGGTACTTATGAACCAATTATAACTGTACTTATAACCCATTTATAAGCCCCTTAAATACCCAAATATGGTTATAAGTACAGTTATAATTGGTTCCATAGTTACCCCCCTGAACCCCAAGGCCTAAGCCTACTTCGGTCATGAAGGAAGGGTCCTGAAAGGAGCTTCTCATAAACCAACCATTGCACGGAAAGCCGGAGCCCACCCCTTGTCTCATAGTTTTCAGTAGTTTAGGGTGTAGGGTTTAGGGTTTAGGGTGTAGGATTTAGGGTGTAGGCGTCATTCTTAGTTGCTTAATCATGTTCAGTGCTGTGCCAAAAAGTGCATCGCCCGAGTCCTTTCTTTGTAGGCAGGTTTGACCGCAACTAGCAAGTGGCATCAGCAATCGTGGTAGACATGTTCGTAGTTGCCCAGTATCCTAGAAAAACTAAAGGTTAACCTTTCGGACTATACAAGGGTTCTACTACCCTGAAAGGGTAAAGGTTACCTACTCTACTACCAAGTGTTGCAGCACCAGACCTAAACCCTAAACCCTAAACCCTACACCTTCAACCCTAAACCCTAAACCCTAAACCCTAAACCCACTGGCTTCCAACCTCTGCCGTTTGGAGGCGAGCCGTGACCGCCACCGCAGCTTCTTGTGCCTCCCAGCACTACTGTTTGCTTAAAAGCCCCCCAAAAATGGAAGCATAGCAATCCCCATGTCTGCTTAAGAACCCCCAAAAAATAGAACGTAGCAATCCCTATACTTACCCTTGTAAGGAAGAATATTAAGAACCCCCCAAAAAATAGAACAGAGTAATTGTAGCAATCCCTATATTACCCTTGTAAGGAAGAATATCTTCATGTTTGGCAGGGTTTTTGAGCAACTCGTAGAGCAGTGGCGCGTGGGCTCGGGCTAACTTTGGGGTTTCAGGGCTTACAATAAACTCCAAACAGTTGGAACATCCTATCCCCATACCCCCAAAAGGTATACTATCCTTGAACCATGTTCCAACTTTCTAGAGTTTACTGTAGGGCATCAGAAAGCAACTGAGACCGCTGGCTACTCGCTGCTTTGGCCGGTACGTACATCGAGCTTTTGCGCGCGCACCGACGCAGAATGTTGCGTGGGTGCGCGGGGTCACTGTCCTACAGCTAGCAGGAGAATGAGTATGCAACCTCAGTCGAAACCCTACACCCTAAAACCCAAAAACCCTAAACGCTACTAAACGCTACTAAACCCTAAACCCTAAACCCTAAACCCTGAACCCTAAACCCTAAACCCTGAACCCAGGTCTCCATCCCATCGCTATTCATGTCTCGACGAACGACAAAAGCATTGACAATAAGCTCCAGGTTCTGGCTGATTACCTGGGAAGGGGACCTGGATGTCCCTGGCCAACCTTAAACCTCAAACCCTAAACCCTAAACCCTAAACCCTAAACCCCAAACCTCTACATCGGGGGTTTAGGGGGTTAAGGTTTAGGGCTTCAAAATGCCGGCTAGCTACATTATGCTGTTGTAGAGCAGCCCTTTCTATTTAAAGCACTCCAAAAAGGGAACATGATTTCAAGAGATGGCCCCACAGCTACTATCCATGGGGGTCTACAATGTAGGGCTTTCAGCTTCGCTTGGGCTTAGGGTTCATAAAGTTTAAAGTGTGAGGGGCTGCGCTTCCACGAACTTACAGCCCCTTCACCCCAAAGCCCATCGTATGTACAGCGGCGGCTGCGCATGGCTGCGCGCGGGAACCACACCCTGCGGCGCTTCTTGAAGTTGTCAAGACGCTTGGCCTTGGCTTCTCTGCACCGGCGGCCTCGCTCGCCTTCGCCTTCCATTTCTCTAGGCGAATGGCTTTGCTTGCTTTGGATCGGTGGCCCTCCCAGTTGGCAGAGTTCGGAGCGTCCTCCTGGGTTACGACCACCTCGAGCGGGGTGAGGTCCAACAATGTCACGTCCCGTGTGTATGGCGAAAGGCCGAGATCTCAGAGGAAGATCGCAGAAGCCGATAAGCCCTGAGTACGACCTGTACGCCCTAAACTAAGCCCAAAGCCCTCAACACTACACACTCGGTGTGGGGTTTCTATGCTCCCCTTAGAACCGTAATAAACCCTAAACCCTAAACTCTAAGCCCTAAACCCTAAGCCCTAAGCCCTAAACCCTAAACAATTCCCAAGGGGGATATAGGTTTAGGGCTTAGCACTCAGATGCCGAATCCCGAACCCTGGCCTCAGTCTCAACCGAGTCCATCGCTTCCTGGCACTGTCATCTCCCAAAAAAGCCCTAAACCCTAAACCCTAAACCCTAAACCCGAGACCCTAGACCCTAAACCCTAAACCCTAAACCCTACACCCTAAACCCTAAACCCTAAACCCAATGGAGCTCTGGGCTTGGTCTTTAGGGGCTTGGGGCTTAGGGTTTGGGGTGGTTGGGGCGTGGGGATTCCAGTTTGGAGCCTTTGCCTAGCTTGGGGTTTAGGGGGCTTACCAGGCTGCGTCTAGGCCCGCTAGCTCAGCATAAACATCAAACTCAATGATGTTCAGAATCACTGTCGGATCACTCGAGTTGATGTCGTGATGCTCCATGTATTCACCGACGGTCTCTGTCATACTGAAAAGGGGATGCGTAGTGACGAAATTGACACCTTCGGCTTGGGTTGTGATGTAGGTCGCCAGGTTGTCAAAACCCTCACCGAAAGCGTCAGTGATTTCATCACCTGTCATCGTCCCGGAGACTTCCTGCATCTTCTCTTCCCACTCTGCCCCCTCTTTGAGATTCTGCACTCGCATCATCACCATGATCGAGTGAAAGGCTGATAAAGGTTTAGGGTTTAGGGTTTAGGTTGAGGGTTTAGGGTTTAGGGTTTACGGTTTAGGGCTTAGGGTTAAGGGCGCCCCTCAATCCAAGAGCTCCACAAGGTCCACGCCTTAAACCCCACAACTTAACGAAAGTCCATGAGCCCTAAACCCGTTCCAGCCCCGAGAGACGGCTAGGAATATTCTACAGAGTCCCTCTGATCGGGTTTCTATGGGAACCTCTTGTAACTCCATAAACAAAGCAATGAAGGGCCCACTCTGTAAGCCCTAAACCCTAAACCCTAAACCCTAAACCCCAAAACCCCTAAACCCTAAACATCTCTCTGCGGGCCCTCCTCGTGCTCCGTGGTCTTGGCAGCCATTCGAGCCTTGAGGCTCGCGAGCTCCTGCTGGTTCAGCGTTTTAGGGTTTAGGGTTAGGGTTTAGGGTTTAGGGTTTAGGGTTCAGGGCTTAGGGCTTAGGGCTTAGGGCTTAGGGCTTCCCCCTCCCCCCCGCCGGGTCCTTTCGTTTGCTCGTGAGCTGCTCCGCCAGCTCAGAGTTCCGACGCTCGTAGCCTCTGGGGTGGGGCCCTGGTTGTTAGAAAACAGGAACGTATAGGGTTTGTTGTTTTGGGTTTGGGGGTTGGGGGCTTTGGGGGTTTAAGGTATAGGGGTCAGGGGTTTGGGGCTTTAGGGGTTTAAGGGGTTTAAGGGGTTTCGCTTTACCCCACCCCCCCGAAATACAGACCCCATGATTACTATCGGGTCCTTCTTGGGGGGACCTTACGAAGGTTACTGTAGGGCCATCTCTCTCTGTCTCTGTCTCTGTCTCAGTTACAGTCTCTGTCTCTGTCTCTCTCTCTCTCTCTCTCTCTCTCTTGCTCTCTCTCTCTCTCTTGCTCTCTCCCTCCCTCTCCCTCCCCTCCCTCCCTCTCCCTCCCTCTCCCTCCCTCTCCCTCCCTCTCCCTCCTTTTGTGCTGTGTACGAAATTATGGGTGCATGTACTCTGCGTGCATCTACATGTTTCTTCATTCGTATGCACATGTAAGGCTGGGAAGGCTCATCGGGATACCGATGAAGCAGGCACCCTGAAGAAACACCGAGAGCATGTCGATAGCCCTGCCGCGGCTCAGGCGGCCCAAAAACTCAAGCCTCAACTTCTCCACAATCGTCCGAAGCCCGGCGTCCTCTCTTCAACCCGAAGGCTGTAAAACACGACACAACCCCCCCCCCCCCCCCAAAAAAAAAAAAAAAGCAGCCTTCGGTGAACTGCTCGGCCAACTCCAAGCGTTCACTCATGCTCCGCGTCTCCTTCAAGCAGTTGTGGCTTGGGCTGCGAACATTGGGGTTTAGGAGGTTTACCTTGAAGACCTCAAAGCTGGTCTTCTTAGCAGGCTGCCTTCACTATCATAAGAATTGTCTGTCAACACAAGAACCAACGCAAAAACCAGCTTTTGCTTGAACATCTCAGGAGTCTGGCGGATTGTCTATAAGCCGCAAACCCAACCTATGAAGTGAAGTACTACACTACATGCCCATAAGCGCTATGAGCCCTGATAGGGGTCGGTAACATAAATACAAACAGTATTTTATGGTCCCTATAATAAACATACTATCAGAGCCCCCCAAAATCCCTACTCTCACTATTGAGGCCCCTACATTAACCCTGTCAGCCCCACAACCCTAACCCTAAACCCTAAACCCTAGACCCTAAACCCTAAACTCTAAACCCTAAACCCTAAACCCTAACCCTAAACCCTAAACCCTAAACCCTAAACCCTAAACCCTAACCCCTAAACCCCTAAACCTCTAAACCCTGAAGCCCCGGCTTCTCCTCCTCAAGGTTGCCGACCTCCTTGGCTGCGGAACTCGCCTGCGCGAGTACAGCTTAGGGTTTAGGGTTTAGGGTTTAGGATTTAGGGTATAGGGTTTGGGATAGGGTTTAGGGTTTAGGGTTTAGGGTTTAGGGTTTAGGGTTTAGGGTTTAGGGTTTAGGGTTTAGGGTTTAGGGTTTAGGGTTTAGGGTTTAGGGTTTAGGGATTAAGGATTAGGGTTTAGGGTTTCGGGTTTAGGATTTAGGGTGTGGCTGGAACCCAAAAAACACCCCAAGCCCAATGCCGAGGATGCCAAGCCCTACGAAACAGTATTCATATCATTCTGAAGACGTATGATGATAACATTACTTTGCTTAACAAGAAACATTACCAATCATAATTCCCCTAAACCCCACGCCCTGTTTGTACAAGGTACAGGGGCTTAGGGCTGAACAGGCACTAAACCTGAAGGCCCTGAAGCCGTAAACCAAGTTTCACAACGGGTTGGGGACGTTAGGGATGAGTGGTTTAGGGTTTAGGGTTTAGGGTTTAGGGTTTAGGGTTTGGGCTCAGGGCTCTTGGGTTGAGTGGGTTCCGGACTTTCGGGACGAGTGGGTTGAGGAAGCCTAAGCCAAGAGCAGCCAGTGTCCCCGGGCCTGCTCCAAACGTGTGGAGACTTCTTCCTGTGGGCGGAGCTGGGGCGTGATTTCTCGAGGGAAGTCTTTAGGGCCATAGATTGGGCTTAAGGTTTAGGGTTAAGGGTTTAGTTCGTAGTTTGGATGTTCCCCCTCATGCTAACGGACCTTAAGGGGGATGATTATAATTAGGGGGAACTATAATCTCCATTAAGGACTGTTAGTATAAGGGGGAACATCCCAAGTTTAGGCTCAAGGGTTTAGGAAGATTTAGGCCTGAAAGAGCTCAGGGTTTTCTGTGTTCTGAGGTCTACCGCAGTGGGGGGTTTAGGGTTTAGGGTTTGGGTTTAGGGTTTAGGGTTTAGGCTTTAGGGTTTAGGCTTTAGGGTTTAGGGTTCAGCGACTTTGTGGTGAGGGCTTTGCTCGAGAAGAAGTACGGAGATGTGCGTGCCGGAAAGCTTACGCATACAGTACAGAACCCGGAAATGTAAACCCCTGAAACCACCAAACATCCAACAAACCTCTAAGCCCCCCCCCCCCCCCAAAAAAAAAAAAAAAACGAAAAACAAACAAACAATCACCCGAAACCACGCAAACCTAAACCCTCAAAAAAACACAAAACTGGTAAACCCCAAATGCCCCTTTAAAACGCCTAGGCCCCAAACGCTAAACCCTGAATCCTGAACCCTGAACCCTGAACCCTAAACCCTAAACCCTGAACCCTAAACCCTGAACCCTAGACCCTCGCGAAGACTGGAGCTCCTCCAGGCGGGCGGCGCGCTGGGACTCGGCTTGGAAGTGGCCTGCAGATTGAGCCTAAACCCTAAACATTTTAGGTTTAGGGTTTAGGGTTTAGGGTTTAGGGTTTAGGGTTTAGGGTTTAGAGTTTAGGGTTTAGGGTTTAGGGTTTAGGGTTTAGGGATAAGCTCTCGCAAGACTAAACACCCTGAACCCTAAACCAGAGGGTGGGGGTTCGGGTTTCGTTAGGAGGGAGGCGAGGAGAATGGGTTTAACCCTAAACCCTAAACCCTAAACCCTAAACCCTAAACCCTAAACCCTAAACCCTAAACCCTAAACCCTGAACCCTGAACCCTGAACCCTGAACCCTGAACCCTAAACCCTAAACCCGTCTGGGGCCCCCTGCTTGCCCGCAGCGCTTCTGCCCGAAGCTCCGTCTCCAGCTCTGCGAGCCTGTGTTCGGGATGCTCGGGGATTTGGGGCTTTAGGATTTGAGGGTTGGGGGCTGAGAGGGTTTAGGGTTTAGGGTTTAGGGCTCAGGGTTTGGGGTTGAGGGTTTGAGGTTTCTGGGTTCGCGGTTGATAGGGCCCGCTAAGAAGGCTTGGAGGGCTTGTGAGGCGGGCTGTCGGTGCTTATGCTTCTCCGGCACTCGGGGTTAGAAGCGGGGGCCTACAGGACTGCATGTAGCGTCAGCGAAATGCTAATATGGACAAAGGTATATTCAGTGGCTCTTTTTGAGCTACTATTTGCTTCAGAACCCCCCCCCCCCTCCGCCCCCCCCCGCAAAAAAAACTTATTTTACTTCGAACATCCCCACCCTCTCTTGGTAGAGATACTCTGCTCCAGGGACACTCTGGGCCGGGGACACTCTGGGGTTGGGCAGTCCAGGAAGACTGGGGTTGAGCACTCCAGGGAGACTCTGGGGCTGGGCACTCCGGGGACACTCTGGGGTTGGGCACTCGAGGTGGGCACTCCGGGAGATTGGAGAGTCTGGCGTTGGGGTTGGGCACTCCAGGGAGACTCTGGGGTTGGGCACTCCAGGACACTTTGGGGTTGGGCACTTCAGGGATGAGCGATATAGACCGGGCGAGGAGAAGAGTTGAGTTTAACATCTAACAACCCCACACCGAGGGTGGGGAACAAGATAGTCATCCCTATATTGCCCTTATAAGGAGTGTATCTTTATGTGTAGCTTATGTTTTCCCAAGGGGGTGGGGGGGGCGGGCGGGGTGGGGGGGCACTGGGGGGGGGGGGGGGGGGGGGGGGGGGGGGGGGGGGCTTGTGCCTTGGACGCTTAACGTCTATTCTGCGCGTGGTGCTCTTTGTTTTCTTGGATTCTTCCCCTCGTTTGGCGCTTCAACGCGGAAGGCGTTCTACCGGATCGCTTTTTGGCGAACTAAGAGGTTGCGAAGAGGAGACGGTCAACATTTTGACGGGAGGCCGCGGAGACGACACGGTCAAAGGAGGGGGTTCGGAGCTTGGGAGAGGGGCGGCGTGGGGAGGCGTGGACCATGCCTGGTGGTTGACGGACGGGTTCGGGGGGGGAATGGGGAGCGTGACATTTCGTTGATGGGCAAGGGAGGGACACGTGGACGCCCCTCCGAGCCCTGCGCGTGCTCCGCACCCTCCGCGCCCGCCGCGCCCTCCGCGCCGCTCCGCGCCCTCTGCGCCCTCCGCGCGCCGCTCCGCGCCGCTCCGCGCCCCTCCCGCCGCGCGCCCGCGCGCGCTCCGCTCCGCGCCGCTCCGCGCCGCTCCGCGCCACGCGCCGCTCCGCGCCCTCCGCGCCCTCCGCGCCCTCGCGCGCCTCATCCCGCGCCCTCCGCGCGCCCTCCGCGCCCTCCGCGCCCTCCGCGCCCTCCGCGCCCACCGCGCCCTCCGCACCCTCCGCGCCCTCCGCGCCCTCCGCGCCCTCTGCGCCCTCTGCGCCCTCCGCGCCCTCCGCGCCCTCCGCGCCTGCGCCCCCCGCCCGGGACACAGTGCGCTGATGCTAAGGGTGCATTGCGTCTATTCTGCGGGTGCGTTGCGTCTATTCTGCGGGTGTTTCCTTTGTAAAGTATTTGTTTATAAACAAATGCATGTGCAGCATAGCCTTTAAGTGTCCATCTTACCGGGGGGCATGGGGGGGGTGGTGTTGCGGTGGGGGAGGTGGGGGGGGGGGGGGGGGGAGAAGGGGGGGGGGGGGCGGGGGAGGGGGGGGGGGGAAGGGGGGGGCGGGGTTGGGTTCTGAAGCAACTAGTGGAGCCCTCGAGCCGCTTTGGGGTCCTCAGGATGGCCCTGGCCTCGTGCGCATCTCCACAAGCGCCTCCTGCTGCTGGTCGACTTCGCAGGCAAGCTCGAGGCTCCTCCATAAGCCCGGCCCTAAACCCTTAAACCCCTCAACCCCTAAACCCCTGATCCCCTAAACCCCTAAACCCCTAACCCCCAAACCCCAAACCCTAAAACAAAAAACCGGCGCCATCTCAGGCGTGTAATTGGGCCTGAATCTCGATCTTCAGGGGAAGTCCAAGGCTTCAGCATTGGAGGGGCTTGTGACCTGTGTGTGCGTGTGCGGTGTCTTTGCTCAGAACGCGACCCCTCAGAACTCCTCACTCAGGTCTCCAACCTGTCCCAACCACGTTGAAAACCCGCGCAATGCCCTAGACCCAAAACCCTGAACCCCAAGCCCTAAACACCAAACCCTAAACCCTACACCCCCAAAACAACTGCAGGCAGTCCTGTTCTCACAAAGCTCACGCTGAACCTCCTGCTCCTCTGCGGCATGTCTGATTAGATGGCAGCTTCAACTTATACTTACCCTGCTTTGGGGTTGGATACTTTATAAGGGAACCTCGCACCAAACAAGGGAAAAGGGTACCAAGCTTCCCTAAACCCTGGACCCTCAAGCCCCCATGTAACTACCCTTAGACAGGAGGGTTGGCAAGCCTAAATACCCTAACTCTTAGGAGGTTCCGAAATTAGGGGTACCTTATTGGGGTCCTTATTCTATACTAGGGGCCGTATGCGGGGGTTCACGGGCGTTTGGGGTTTTAAGGGAGACTCCGGGTATGCTAGCCGCTGCTAGGGGGTGCTCTGGACTTGGCTTGAGGATGATGAGCTGCTGCGGCCTCCTTGGAAGGGTTCTTAGGCCCCTAAACCCTAAACCCTAAACCCTAAACCCTAAACCCTAAACCCTAAACCCTAAACCCTAAACCCTAAACCCTAAACCCTAAACCCTAAACCCTAAACCCTAAACCCTAAACCCTAAACCCTAAACCCTAAACCCTAAACCCTAAACCCTAAACCCTAAACCCTAAACCCTAAACCCTAAACCCTAAACCCTAAACAAAACACAGGAGTTGCAAGGAGGCCTGCACCATGTTCGCAGCGGCAAGATGCTGGAGCTCCAAGGCGGCCTTTGTGCGTCGGGGAAGGGCCGAGGGCTGGTTCTTGAGGGGTTTAGGGTTTAGGGTGTAGGGTTTAGGGTTTAGGGTTTAAGGTTTGGGGTTTAGGGTTTTAGGTCTGAGGGTTGAGGGTTTAGGGTATATGGTGAGGAGGGGGTGCTTTTTGAGGCGCTGATGCTTGGAAATATCAGAGGAATCAAAAAGGAACGAGCGACACTCTTCCCCTCGTACTCCAGGTATAATAAACACGGGTACAAACTAACCCTAAACCCAAACCCCAAACCCTGAACCCTAACCTTGAACCCTAAACCCTAAACCTTGAACCCTACAATACCTCCAGCCCTACAAACGCACCCAATTCATGAAGCTGTAGCTATCATCGCAATCTGGAAGCGCCCTCTGCACTACTTTGGGGATCAGCGCAAGCTTCCCAGACCTCCCTAAAACCCGAAAGGCACAACCCCCCCCCCCCCCCCCCCCCCCCCCCCTAAAACCTTAAAACCCTAAACCCTAAACCCTGAACCCTAAACCCTACACCGCCCTCCACCCCCGAAAACCTGCCTGATCGGCCTGATTCTGCCTCCAACACGATAACATCCAAAAAGCTGCAAGGTCTGCCTAGAGTAGCCTACCTTGACAAGAGTAAGGGTGACCCATGAAAGGTATCCTCCCTTGTCTTTAAGGGTTTTTGAGTTTCTCTGGGTCGAGCTCAGGACCGACACCGTTTGTCCTTACCCTCAACACCCTCAAAGCCCTCAACACCCTCGACACCCTCAACACCCTCAACTCCCTCAACACCCTCAACACCCTCAACACCCTCAACACCCTCAACACCCTCAACACCCTCAAACCCAAAACCGTGCAGCCTGAAGCCCTAAAAACCCCTAAACGCACCGAAAGCACGAAAAGCCCCCAGATCCTGACATCTTGTTCGGTGCAGCAGAGTGCCTCCAGATCTGCTGCTTGCGCTGACGCCTGCCTTGTGGAAGCCGGAGAATACTGGACTTGTGGAGGTTAAGGCTCCTAATCCCTAAACCCTAAACCCTAAACCCTAAACCCAAAACCCTTCAGGGTTCAGAGATGCCCGGGTTTCGGGGTTCGGGTTTCTGAGCAGTAGGATTGCTGTAGCCACATAGCTGGCAAGCGCCGCATTGGGGGTACAGCACTTAGAACACTACATACGCGCATTCACACACAAGCAAACGACATCGTTAGGAATTCGCGCATTCGCGGCGCACTCTGAACCAGCTCTTTGCAGAGCCAGAAGACCCCTCAAATATCCCTGGAGTGCTCCACCCCCAAAGAAGCCCGCAGAAAGTTCAGCCAACAGATGTTCGCACATACACACAACAGATATATACACATATGTATGTGTATAGGTATATGTGTATATGCGTATGCATGTCTGCGTGCATGCATGCACGAGTGTATGCATGTGCATGCATGACATTGATGTGTTGTACACGAGGGTGGGAAACAAAATCAACAGGAAACAAACGCTGCAAAGAGAATCTGCAGACAGCACAAAACCGGAGATGTGTTCTGGTTTTGGCTGTCAAGGAGCTCTGCCAACAACTTTGTAGATTTTGGTGGGTTTGGGTTTCGAGGAATGCTATCAGCCATTGTTTATCGGGGATTGTGTTTTTGAAGAGAGTCCGCCCGCGTTTTGCTTGGTTTTTTGGGTTTGGTTCTTGTCACCAACCCTCCCCGCCCTCCCCCCACCCCTCGACCCCCCCCCTCCCCCCGCGAGAGCAACCCCGAACCCGGCGAGGCCTCCAGGCGACGGCCATGTCCTCCTGCTGGCTGCGCACCTCCTGCATGCGCTGCTGGAGGACAGCTGCCCCTGAGCGCAGGTTGCAGAGCCTTACACAGCCCGAACATTGTGAAACCTCTAGCGCTAAACCGACATATATGGGTCTTTCCCAAAATAGACCCCCCTATATTCCCCACAGTACTGTACTCCTTGTTACAGGAACCCCAAGAAGAGTGCCCCTATTTTCGGAGATCCCCATATGAACAAGCCCCATCTTGCGTATCTCCTCAGCCCTGAGCAGCCTCACTGAGGCCTTGAGGTTCGGGGGGGAAACCATCGCAGTTGTGTTTTTCGTGTAAGTGTAAGTGTACGTGCACTTGAAAGTGAAAGTGCAAGTGTGTGCAAATAAATGTAGGTCAGCCAGCAAGTCAGTCAGTTGAGTTTGAGGAACCCTATCAACCTTCGGGCGGCCTGGGGTGGCTAGGGAGGTTCCCCGCGCTGTCTCGGACTCGGAGGTTTCTTGGGGAGCATCAAGCTGGGGGGTGGGCGGGGGCGTTGGGCTCTTGAGGGTTTTGGGATCCCGAAACCCTAAACCCTAAACCCTAAACCCTGAACCCTAGACCCTAAACCCTAAACCCTGAAACCCTAAACCCTAAACACGGCTCTCGAGGGTTTTGGGATCCCTAAACCCCTATCCGAAAGCCCTGAAAGCTGCAAAAACCATGGAGCACTTAGGGCCTGCAATCTGTGGAGGGTTTAGGTTGCCTAAACCCCAAGCCCTAGACCCTAGACCCCAGACCCTAGACCCTAAACCCTAAACCCTAAACCCTAAACCCTAAACCCCCAACCTTGTTCAGGGTGCCGTATGGAGCCCACAGTTTGCTGAGCGCTGGACTTCGCCTTTCTTCCTCCCTCTCCTGGGACACCACCCACATCTCCTCCGGCTTCTCAACCGATTGAAGGTTAGGGTTTAGGGTTTAGGGTTTAGGGTTTAGGGTTTAGGGTTTAGGGTTTAGGATTTAGGGTTTAGGGTTTAGGGTTTAGGGTTTAGGGTTTTGGGTTTTGGGGTGTAGGGTTTAGGGTTTAGGGTTTAGGGTGCAGGGTCTAGGGTCTAGGGTTTAGGGTTTAGGGTTTCGGGTTTCGGGTTTAGGGCTGTTCTCGAGGTAGGGGGCAGGGCTTTGGGTTCCCTGTGAGTATCTTGTGATTATCGATCTCCGTATCATCTGCGATGGGCTAACTCTCCCAGACCCTATAAACTTTGAAGAGATTGGGGTTTTGATCGGATAACGGTTAGAGTGTAGGGTTTAGGGCTTAGAAGGTTTAGGGAAAAACCCTAAAACCCCAAACCCCAAAACCCCTAATCCTAAAACCCAAACCCTAGTTGAACCCGGACACTAAACCCCAGACCCTAAAAACCGAAACCCTACACCCTAGGCCGAAACCCTACACCCTAGGCCCTAAACCCCTGAACCCTCTTCATCCTATATGCCAACCCCGAAAACCCCAAACCCCCAAATCCGAACCCTAAACCCTAAATCTCCAAACCACTGAACCCCAAACCCTAACAACCCTAAAACCCTAAAACACCAAAACCCCAACCCTGAAACCCCAAACCCCCAAACCCCGAAACCCGGAAACCCCCAAACTCCCGAACCCCAACATTCCAACCATAAACCATAAAACCCCCCAAACAAGCAAACACTAAAAATCCAAAAACCTCAAGCCCTCAAACGCTTAAACCCGAAAGCCCCTAAATCCCTAAAACCCTGAAACACTAAAACCCTAAACCAAACCCTGAACCCTAAACCCTAAACCCTAAACCCTAAAACCTAAACCCCAATCCTGGAAACACCAAACCCCACACCGTCAAACCCCGACTTCCCCCCAAACTCCCGAGAGGCCTAAACCCTAAACCCGAAACCCTAAACCCTAAGCCCTAAACCCTAGACCATAGACCCTGAACCCTAAACCCTAAACCCTAAACCCTAAACCCTAAACCCTAAACCCTAAACCCTAAACCCTAAACCCTAAACCCTAGCCCTAAACCCTAAACCCTAAACCCTAAACCCCAAACAGGCCTGGCAGTCGACTTGCGCCGCCCGCAGCAGCTTGGCGCCTGAGGCGGCGGCCTCCTTCTGCCTCTCGAGGCCTTGTTGGCAGGGTTTGGGGTTTAGGGTTTAGGGTTTAGGGTTTAGGGTTTAGGGTTTAGGGTTTAGGGTTTAGGGTTTAGCAAGTTCAGGGTCTAGGGCTTAGCAAGTCCAGGGTTTAGGGTTTACGGGTTTGGGGTTTCAGAGTCTAGGGCTTATGGAGGGTTTGAGCGATCTTGTTTCTCCAAGGCGAAGAAAGACAAAACCATCCCAAGAGTTTAGACTTGAGGGTTCGGGGTTGAGGGTTGCCAAACTCGTACTTTCACATCAGCACCCAGAACCACAACACGAAGGGCACATGAGCCTCTATGCACAGCATGCTTGTCGAGTTCTACAAGTATACAAGTATAGAAATAGTTCACTGCAAAGGGTAGAAAGGCCATGATGACGGGCCATAGCTAGGTCTACGTACCTACACCATCTTCGCCCCTTATACTAAGAGTCCTTAATAGGGATTATCATGGGGGGGTACTATAATCCCAATTAAGGACTGTTAGTAGAAGGGGGAACCCAAGGTACGGAGCCCAACCGGGCTCTGTGCAGTTCTTTGCATAATCATTCAGCGAGCAGCTTGTCGAAAGCTCCGCCACTTGGGCGCTGACCCGTGCCTGCCGACAGCGCTGCTTCCGCTACCCTAAGCTTATAAAGCCTGAACGACCCTACAGTCTGGGGGTTCTATTCTGGACCCTTAAGGTTGTACCCTCGGGTTTTGGGGCCCCGTGTTAGGGATCCCTAAATAATCTAGGGGCCCTGTTTACGAGTATATGAAGAGGAAGGGCACGAGTCTTCATCCCTACACCTAACCCCGGTGAGCCAACCCTAAGGCCGAGGGTGTGGCGTTTAGGGACTGTCCATCCTCGTAAACTGTGGGCAGGGCCCATATACACCCTGAACCCTAAACCCTCCAAAAACCCTAAACCCCAAACCTCCACACACCCTAAGCCCTAAACCTCCATAAACCCTAAGCCCTAAGCCCTAAACCCTAAACCTCCCTAAACCTAAACCCTAAACTCAAAGCCCTAAACCCTACTGATCAAAGTCTTGTGGGGCTGTCGGTCAGAGGAGACGGCCGTCCGACCGCCCAGCTCAGGTCCTATGAGGACTTAAGAAAAATCGAGAAGCTTCTCTGCTATTTGCTTAAGAACCACCCAAAAAACAATAATCATCCCTATATTACCCTTATCAGGAAGAATGCTGTCTTTTGATTGGGGGGTTCTCAAGCAATTCGTGGGATCTGAGGGGGATGAAAAAAACTCCTAGAAGCTGCTTCGATGAGCAGGGTTCGCCCTAAAACCCCCTAAGGCCTGAAACGGGGCTCCCCAAAACTCTGAACTTCGAACCCTAGCGAATTTAGGGTTTAGGGTTTAGGGTTTAGGGTTTAGGGCCACTGAAGCCCCTAAACCCCCAAAAACCCCCTGAAGCCCTGAACCCCCACTAGGATGGCCCTTAAAGCCCTCTGGAAGATACTCCGAAACATAGCCCTCCTAAAAAAACCAATGAGGGCAAACATCAAATGTCCCAAGGGCCTACCGAGCCCGAAGCCCCTGAAACCTCTGAAGCCCCTAACTTCCCTAGTCGCTGGGGAACTGAGGAATGTGATCCCAAAAAGGTTAACCTTTCAGGGTTTAGGGTTTAGGGTTTAGGGTTTCCATTATGGTAGGAATCTAAAACACCCCCAGAAGGCTCCAAAGCTCACTCAGCTGCCAAGCTTGGAAGCCCAGGAACCATCCTTTTTTTGGGGGTTCGTTACTTTATAAGGGAACCTTGCGCCAAAAAAAAAAGGAAAAGGGTACCACTGGGCTACCAACCCTAAACCCTAAACCCTAAACCCTAAACCCTAAACCCTAAACCCTAAACCCTAAACCCTAAACCCTAAACCCTAAACCCTAAACCCTAAACCCTAAACCCTAAACCCTCCCTACAGGCTTGGGGCGCCTCGGACTTCTGCGCGTCGTGGCGCGCCGCCTCCTGGGCCGTCAGCTGCTCCTGCGACGTGCGACGGGCGCCCCGGGGTCTAGCCCAAAGGGTCCTAAGTTAGGGTTTAGGGTTTAGGGTTTAGGGTTTAGGGTTTAGGGTTTAGGGTTTAGGGTTTAGGGTTTAGGGTTTAGGGTTTAGGGTTTAGGGTTTAGGGTCTAGCCCAAAGGGTCCTAAGTACCTACATCGTAGAAAGTAGGGTTTCTATAACAGGAATTACTATTATGGTTTGGGTAAGTGACCCTCATGTAGGTACTTAGGATTCTTTGGGTAGCTTGGTAGCCCAGGTCACGCAATTTTGAATAAGGGCAGCCTGCCTTAGTCACCCTATGATAATAAGGGCACCTCCCCCCCCCCCTTTTTTTTTTTGGGGGGGGGGGGGGGGTTGGTTACTTTACTAAGGACACCTTCAAACAAAAAAGGGAAAAGGGTATTCGGGCCTTGGGGTTTTACGGCGCAGGGTCCTTCGAGATCCCTCGTTGCAAAGTTCATGGTTGTCTGCTGAATCTGAGTAACATGTTTAGAGGTCCTCCCAAACGGTCTGGGCTGGGGCAGGAGCTAGATGCCGTCTGCATCACTGTGTAAGTTGCAAGATGACCTGGTACCCCAGTAACCATATTATAATGAGGGCACCTTTTTTTGGTTGGTTAATTTAGAAGGGAACCTTGAGCCAACAAAAAAGACGAAAAAGGGTACCACTGGGCTAACAAGATGAGGTTGTGCAGGGATGCGTGAATCTCTGGTCCAACGGGCTGCTGCAACCAAGCGCTGGCAAAAACACAACAATAGAAGCTCTCTAAAAAAGGAGGCCTTATTCATTACAATAGGGAGGGTTTAGGGTTTAGGGTTTAGGGTTTAGGGTTCTTATAGCATTACTATATAGGGCCTAAGGGAGCAATGTTGGAACAACAAAAAGGAGAAGCTCTGTATGCCTGGTGCTGGCTTAGGGCTTTGGGCTTTAGGCTTTAGGGTTTAGGGTTTAGGGTTTAGGGTTTAGGGCCAGCTTGAACAAACACCCCCTGGTTCTTAGTAGGGAATGAGGGAATGAGGGCCCTACAATAAACCCTTCAAGGGATCATACCCTAAACCTAAACTCTGTCCCTAAACCCTGAACCCTGAACCCTGAACGCTGAACCCCAAACCCGAACCCCTAAAACCCTAAAGCCTAAACCCTACCCGAATTCCCTCATTCCCTACGAAGAACCCGCCAGAACAAAGCCCAGCAGGCTCCTTCAGGAGCAGCTGCTGCGCCTTCACACAGGGGATTTGCTTGCGAACAGCTCACAAATCAAGAACACTGACTTCGAAGCTTCGGGTTTAGGGTTTAGGGCTTAGGGTTTAGGGGCAAAGCCTTCCAAAGGAATGAGGCACCAGACTTGCCTGCTTGCTTCACAGAAGGCGTTCATGTGGTTTCGAGTGGAGGGCCGGGTGTAGGAGTGCTATCGCTCACATGTGGTGCCACTAGAGTGTGACCACAAGTAAGGGTTTAGGGTTTAGGGTTTAGGGTTCAGGGTTTAGGGTTTAGGGTTTAGGGTTTAGGGTTTAGGGTTTAGGGTTTAGGGTTTAGGGTTTAGGGTTTAGGCTGCTAAGGAACATGAACGAAGTTACCAAAACAATACAGCTTCCGTGCTATGGTATCTCAATGCAGGCGGAGGGCTTCCTTTTGCTTAGCCCCAAAGTGCTGAAAACCCTAAACCCTACACCCTAAACCCTAAACCCTAAACCCTAAACATCCTTCAGCCTAAGCCTTCGGGGATCTGTCGGCCGGAGAGGGCTTTTGTCGGGCTTGGCGCGTCGATGGGACTTCGGATTGCTTTGTGACGGGCTTCCCGAAGACAGGGTTTAGGGGTTTAGGGGTTTAGGGGTTTGGGGTTTGGGGTTTGGGGTTTAGGGTTTAGGGTTTTCGGGGATCTTTGCAGTTGTTCATTTCTTTTTCTTGGGGGGGGAGGGGGGGGGGGTGGGGATGTAAGGGGTGCCCTAGCTTGGGAAAGACACAGGTAAGGTGATAGCCAGTTGATAACTACACTTGCCCTACATGGAAAACGCTCATTGAAGGCTTAGGGTTGAGAAATCTCGCAAGGCACGCGGCACCAATGCGGACAAGACCGGTGCCTGCAGGACCTGCAGCTGCCTTGGCTTTGCAGTGGCTGCAGGGGTTTGGGGTTTTAGGGTTTGGGGTTAGGGTTTAGGGTTTAGGGTTAAGGGTTTAGGGTTTAGGTTTTAGGGTGAGCAGCAGCGATATCTGTGGCCAAGGAAAGTGCCTTGCCCCCACGGTGTTGGGCAGCCTGGACGCCCCGACCCCAAGGATCAGGGTTCATAGGGTTGAGGGTTTAGGGTTCAGGGTTCAGGGTTTAGGGTTGAGGGTTTAGGGTTCAGGGTTCAGGGTTTAGGGTTTGGCGTTTTATTAGGGTTTAGGACCCCGAACTCTAAACAACCGAAATTCGCGTCAACCCCTCAGCCGAAACTCTAAGCCCTGTCCCTGAACACCAGAATGCCCTACTAGAGGTTCATCGGTAAACATCCTCCAAACCAGAAGCTCCGGTCTGTCTGCTGCTCGGGAGCTTCTCTCGTTCAGTGGGATCCTTCGGATTCTACACTTCCTCTAAAACCAAACTTAGACATGTCTAAATGGTCCCTTGGATCTTAACCCTAAACCCTAAATCCTAAATCCTAAACCCTAAACCCTGCAGAAACATGAGCATAACTCCTAAGGGAACAGCCGGATTGAGGCCGGGATGGCGTCGGCTTCGGGTGCTTTCGGATTGCGGGGGGTTTTGGAGTTTAGGTTTAGGGTTTAGGGTTTAGGGTTTAGGGTTTAGGGTTTAGGGTTTAGGGTTTAGGGTTTAGGGTTTAGGGTTTAGGGGTGCTTGGAGGTTTTCCGGGGTTTACGTAAGGTGTTGAAGCATATGAAGCCCTGAGAAACAAAGTGGAACTGCAATCATATGTATTGGGTGGAGTGCCCTCTGCTTAGCGGCTTGGTGGGTCCCTCTGTAGGTATTCTTTTTTGGCCAGCTCTGGCAGTGGCAAGTTAGCAGATGTCTGGGGTTGGCTTGATTTCAAAGGCGGATACGACGCCACCCTCTTCCTCCTGTCTTCCTGCCCCTAAACCCTAAACCCTAAACCCTAAAATCAAATCTCTAAACCCTAAACCCTAAACCCCAAACCACTAAACCCCAAACTTCCAAACCCCTAAACCCTAAACCCTACACCCTGCACAGTCCTCCTCCGGGACCTTCTGAAAAGGCCGCGCTGCGCAGATTTGCTTGATCTCCTCGCTCTTCACCTGGCTACTACTTGCTAATAAAAATAAAAGAATAATCACAATAACAATCATGATAACAGTAACAGTAATAACATTCTGTATTTATAGATAGATATATAGCTGTTATTCTTCTTCCATACAAGGGCAGATTTTTTATATTTTTTTTTTTTTTTGGGGGGGGGGGGGTGTTCTTAAGCAAATAGCAGCTGGTAGCACGCATTGGAGAGGGTTCTCCCGCGATAGGAGGCAAGCAGTTGAGACCCACCAGGATCGTCAAAGGGCGGATTTAGGGGTTTAGGGTTTGGGGTTTGGGGTTTAGGGTTTAGGGTTTTGGGCTAGGGTTCAGGGAGGATCAAGACAAGAGAAGAAGCAAACTGTGGTGATGGCAGCTTTTCGTGACCAGAGGCGTGGCAGCTGACCCGAAAACCCTAAACCCTAAACCCTAAACCCCAAACCCTAAACCAAGTGCTGCCGCCTGCAAGTGCTCCTTGAGTATTGCCACCTGAAGCATCACGCCACGAGGCACTGAGGAGAGGCTTGGCACATTCTGTCAATTAATGCGATTTTGCTTAAGAACCCCCCCCTCCAAAAAAAAAAAAAAAAATCAAACAATAATCCTAAATTACCCTTATAAGGAAGATGTTTTTTGGGGGGGTGTTCTTAAGCAATTTGCAGATTATGGTCTATTGTAGGACCTGCACATCCAGAAACTACCTTGGCCACAACCTGCTTCCGAAGGGTGGGAGTCGGGCTCTGTTTAGGGTTTAGGGTTTAGGGTTTAGGGTTAGGGTTCAGGGCCTATTTGCCGGACTCTCCAGAGCTTAAACCCAAGATGTCCAGCTGAGAAGCTTCCTGCCGCTTTGCTTGCAGCTGCTCCGAAAGCCTCAGTCCGCATCCGGTTTAGGGTTTAGGGTTTAGGGCTTAGGGTTTAGGATTCCTTCACTTGCCTAGGCTGAGATGCCCTTACCTCCCTTCAGAGCACATAGCGGTATGTGGGTGTACAAGGAGGCCTGGGCTGGTGCGAAGCTTGCGGGGGGGGGGGGGGGGGGGGGGAACCTCTCGGGGTCGCACCTCGGACACTTAAGGTGGTCTCCTTGGATTTTTAGGGACTCGTTTTAAAGATCCTTAAGGCAGGTTAAGGGCCATGTTATGAGTACATCAGGGGGAACCTTTAGGGGTACAACCTGTAGGGGTGCGAGTCTTCGTCCCTTGGTTTCCGAAACCTCATGCCTGTTTTGCCCTGCCCGAAGTACAGGCATCCTTAAGATGATCTAAGGTAGGGTTTAGGGTTTAGCGTTTAGGGTTCAGGGTTTAGGGTTTAGGGTTCAGGGTTTAGGGTTCAGGGTTTAGGGTTTAGGGTACTCCTGAATTAAGGAGCATTGGGCTCGTTTGGGGCCCTTGATGGGCTGACACTGGCGATTCTCTTTTTGCCGCCTCACTACTACAATCGCCTTATTCTTGGCGGGCCTTGTGATTGGGGGCTTTCCCACGTCATCCCTCAATGCTCTTGAACCCCCCCCCCCCCCTAAACCCTAAACCCTAAACCCTAAACCCTAAACCCTAAACCCTAAACCCTAAACCCTAAACCCTAAACCCTAAACCCTAAACCCTAAACCCTACTAGACCCAAAGCCTAAATTCACCTATGGGCCTCTACGTCGAAAACTTGCCTTTTTGACTCCCTATGTTTGAGGGGGTTGCCTTTCGGCTCCCTTTGTTGAGGGCTTGCTTTTTGACTTGATTGCTTCTCTTGAGGCCAAGTTTTTCGAGCGGTTTGAAAGGGTTGAGGGTGTCCCTATTGCCCTCGAACCATGTTGAAACATAATCTGCTTCAGAACCCCAGGAGTCTTCTACAAACAGAAGTAGAACACAACTCCTGTGGAAACCATAGGCTCAGAGAGTCATAACGCCTCAACTCTAAACCCCTGAAATCCTAAACTCCCTTGACTCCCTCGCCTTCTCCCTAAATCCTTCACGCTAACCCCTGAACCCTGAACCCTAAACCCTAAACCCTAAACCCTAAACCCTAAACCCTAAACCCTAAACCCTAAACCCTAAACCCTAAACCCTAGCAGGCGTAGAGAGTTGCCGTAAATGAGGCCAGCAGCTGCGTGTTGCGGCGCTCGTGGCTGGCCGAGAGCTGCTCCTGGGAATCTGTTGGGGTGGCTTCCGGGTTCCTGCACAAACAGGTTTAGGGTTTAGGGTTTGGGGCTTAAGGTTTAGGGTTTAGGGTTTAGGGTTTAGGGCTTAGGGTTTAGGGTTTAGGGTTTAGGGTTCAGGGGGAGACTCCTCGAACTCCAGTGCGTTGACTAGGCCACGCTCTGGCCTTGGCGCACAGTATCAGAGAGCAGAGGGCAATTTACGCTTAAACTCCTCAAGGAAAAACATAGTGGCTGAGTTCATAAGTCCAAACAAGTGTACACACTTTCAGTTCTATAGGGGATGATAGTGACCCAAAAAGTGTGAAATGCACTCATGCAGCTACCAAGAAACCTCAAGAACAAAAACGGCCCTAAACGCCTGAAGTTGCGGGTTTAGGGTTCAGGGCTTAGGGCGGAGGGTTTGAGAACTGAGAAAAGCACCAAAATCCCAAAATATCTTAGCGCCTTTTGGAGTCTTCGGAGCCTTTTTAACGCCTCTAACACCCTAAACCTTATACCCTAAACCCCAAGAGTCGAAGGTCCAAGCAGCACTAATTAAAGCCTTCGAGGCCTCAGATCCTTCAACACTTCAATAGCTTAGGGTTTGGGGTTACGGGAATGACAGTGCTCCGTTTTCTGTTTTTGAAAATGGATTACACAGAGTGTCTTAGGGTTCAGGGCTTCAACATGCTTCAACGTAAGCACTCTAGGGGTATGGGTACTATGGGACATCGACATCCTCATATCGCGTATAAGCCGTAAACCCTAAATACCAGACGTACGAACCCTGAACCCTAAATCCGCTGGACGCTAAACACCCTGAACCCTTCATTCTCTGGACCCTATGCCCTTAAACCCTATAATTACCCAAAACCCTAAACCCCAAACCCCAAACCCTAAACCCTAAACCTCAAACCCCAAACCCTAAACCCTAAACCCCAAACCCTAAACCCTAAACCCCAAACCCTAAACCCTAAACCCTAAACCCCAAACGCCCTATGCCAGGCGACTCTTGGAGCACCTTCTGCAGCTGCAGCTCTTGCACGCCCAGCCTCTCCTTGAGGCCGGAGACCTCTGCAGCTTCCGGTGTAGGGTTTAGGGTTTAGGGTTTAGGGTTTAGGGTTTAGGGTTTAGGGTTTAGGGTTTAGGGTTTAGGGTTTAGGGTTTACGGTGTAGGGGCTTAGGATGCTCCAACATCAATGTTTTGGAGGAGGTTGCTAGGTTTTGTTTCATGAGCTGTTTGGTGGTTTCGGAGAAAGGGCCTGAGGTTGTGTAGGTTATGTCGAACAAAGATGGCAGTCTGTCCAGCTGCTTTGGTGTTTGCATGTGGCTTGAGTTTTGTTTGCTTGGAGCTGCTTACTGTTCTTTTGGTGTGCTGTAGCGTTCTTCGGGTTCATGGGTCGCTATATGTGCGTCTCGATACTTGGAGGTTCAGGGTGCTTACGAACCCAGTTATCACCGTACTTAAAAGCGCCCCGAAGCCCTCTAAGTAGGCAAATAGTAACCCTGGTTTAGGGTTTAGGGTTCAGGGTTTAGGGTGCCCTAAACCCTAAACCCTAAACCCTAAACCCTAAACCCTAAACCCTAAACCCTAAACCCTAAACCCTAAACCCTAAACCCTAAACTCTGACAAGCATTATGTTCGCCACCTGAGCCCCGGACCGACTCCCAAACTGGAGTTTTGGGCCCATCTTGGGGTTTGGGGTTTAGGGTTTAGGGTTTAGGGTTTGGGGCTCCGGGTTTGGGACCCCCACCTCGTTGCACTTCGACTGAAGCTGCTCCATAAGGTCCTTCACACGCCGCTCGTACTGCGAGACAACCTGCCAGGGCCGGCTCTAGGTTCCCATTCTCGAAGCCCGAAACCCCTAAGCTCCTAAACCCTAAACCCTAAACCCTAAACCCTAAACCCCAAACCCCAAACCCTAAACACAGGAAGAAGAGTTCTGGCAAACCCCTCACCTTCCCTTCAGGTCTTGAGGTTGGGGAGCGGGCGGGAGGGGGGGTGGAACAGGCTTTGGAGTTTTGGATTGAGGCTGCTGCTGGGGTTTTGGAGTCCGGATGTATATAGGGCCCTGAACCCTGAGCCCTGAACCCTGAACCCTAAACCCTAAACCCCTAAACCCCTAAACCCGAAACCCTAAACCCTAAACCCCTAAACCCCTAGACCCCTAAACCCGAAGCCGAAAATCTCAGCGCCTGGTCCACGTAGTCCATGGAGCGGCTGCTGGGCTGGGCCTACAAGGGCGGGTTTAGGGCGGCTTGGTTTAGGGTTTTAAGGTTTAGGGTTTAGGGCTTAGGGGTTAGGGCGATGCAAAAGTGCTCAGGAGGATTTGCGGATTCAGGGTTCAGGGTTGAGTTTTTGAGTAGTTTAGGGTTCAGGGTTAATTTGGGGGTCGAGAGTTTCGTTTTGGGGTTCAATGTTCAGGGTTGAGATGTTGAGTTTGGGGTCCAGAGTCTAGGGTTCAGGGCGTATTTTGGGGCTTAGGTTCAGGGCTTGGGATTAAGGGGGGCTGAGGGAATCGGGGACCAGGGAGTAGAGCCTGTAAACCGTGTGAAACACTACACCGCAACAACACCCAAAAGGCAACACAGCAAAATTAGGGTTTAGGGTTTAGGGTTTAGGGTTTAGGGTTTAGGGTTTAGGGTTTAGGGTTTAGGGTCCTCTCATCGAACTGCCTGAAGGACATCCCGGAGTCCTCTTCCCGTAGGCCTCCTACTTGTCGTAGGATCGAAAGAGACTCAGGGCCTGTGGAGTGCCTACCTACCCACCCTAAACCTTTTAACCCTAAACCCCAAACCCCAAACCCCAAACCCCAAACCCCAAACCCTAAACCCTAAACCCTAAACCCTAAACCCTAAACCCTGAACCTACCTACAAATATATGTGCATGTCAAGCACCCCGAACCTTCAACTGCTGTTGCAGCTCGAGGTTCTTGGCCTAGGTTTGGGCATGCAGGCATTCGTGGGAGGGTTTAGAGTTTATGGGGTTTGGGGTTTAGGGTTTAGGGTTTAGGGTTCAAGGTTTAGGGCTTAGGGTTTGGGAATGCAGGCCCTGGCAGGTTGTAGAGTTTATGGGGTTCAGGGTTTGGGGTCTATTTAGGGTTCCAAGTATGGGCCCTCAAATCTGGGTCCCTTGTTGTAGGTGTTCTTACCCCACACGTCGGATTTCTGAGAAAACATACCAAGGGGGCCCACGATTCCATCCTTAGGTCTACATTCGGGTTCAAGGTTCACGGTCTGTAGGGCAGAGTGTTTTGGGTGCAGGGTACGAAGGCTTCGGACTTGGGGGGGCATGCTAGGGTTCGATCCCATGTTGCCTGTCCATAAGCCACACGACATGAACTACAGGTCTAAGGAATCGAAGGATTCTAAGAACATATTTTTTTTGCAAAATTGGCTTTAATGAAATCTGATTAGAAAGTATGCATTGTGATGCATGATTTGAGAAAGTTTTAGTTTAGATCAAAAATATAATATGCTGTCATAATAATACTGAAGACAGGAACAAGTGCAATGCGGTTCAATATTACAAAAACTTATTGCGCAATTAGCTTTAATGGAATCTGGCTAGAAAAACTATGAATACATCAATCCATATGAGTTGTAACGCATGATTTGAGAACGCTCTGTGTATTTTCAAGTAATTATTTTTTGAGAATTATATTTATTGGGTAAGGTTTTAACCTTAAGTATTATTGTTGAATACATTTATTCAATACAGACAGTTTCGTTTAAAAGATCTAATGAAGAATTACCACACAGGCATTGTTTGTTGGTTTTTGCTTTTTGTATTACCCACAAGCAATTTCAGGACCAACGATACGACAAGTCAAGTTCAAATCTTATGGTGATACTAGAGATTCCAATATCACAAAACACTTTCGTATCGCACACAGCGGTTCTGAGGTCGTGTAATGTTCGAGAAACTTTCCCATATCTATTACGATGGTCCACTGAATACAAACAGTGCCGCGTCACACCCATAACAATTTTATATTTTTTTATTAGACACACTTAACTAAGCAGTCTTAACTAACTTTCACTTTCGTTCGAGAATAACTAAGGTTATGGATAAAATGACAAATCTACTTAACAAAGTCTCCATAAATAAGAACTGTTAGAAACGGATGTTGCTTAACAGAATCTCTTTCTGTTAACCTAATGTGTTACTAATCTAAACGTCACAATGCATTATACATATATATATATATATAATATTTAAGTAACGGCAACAGCTGTCATCCTTACGAAGGTTGCGGCGACTGTTATTGTGAAAATTCAATAGCATCATGATTTAATTTGATTTTCAAATCATCTAGAATGCTATACATATTAGTTTGTTAAGATATTTTTTTGAAAGTATTAAACATATTTTGGCTAACATTTTTGTAAATAGTTTCCCTTAGACTGTTTTTTGTAGTTCTTGGTTCTTTAGTTCGATGGCTACCCTCCATCGAAAGGGTCGATGGTCGTCACCCTCCATCGAGGAGGGTTGGCGGTCACGCTCCACCGAAAGGGCCGATGGTCACCCTCCATCAAAAGGGTCAGCGGTTACACCCCCCCTATATTGTATGCAGAATTATTGATAAATACTTCTATCATCTTTGAAATTTAAAATCTCCAAAAAAATTAGCC